GCACTGTCCAGAGAGCTCATATCGGATGATGCTGACGGAGACGCCTTGAGCATCTGATCAGCTGCTCCACTGAAACTGTTCATCATCGATTCGTTCGGCGGAATTACTACTGGAAGTTGAGTGTTTGTTGGGAGCTGATGTTGTTGTGGTTGTGGTAGTTGTGGTAGTTGTTGTGGCTGTTGAAGGTGTGGATTCTGGAGCTGCTGATTTTGAATCTGTTGAGCTTGTTGCTGTTGGTCCGGGAAGACTCCTTGAAGCGTCTGATTGTTCTGAAGGGCATTTCGGACGAACGCCAACAGCTTCTCATCGACCAGTGGATTTTTTGTTGGTGAGATTGAATTCTGCTGAAAAATGAGAATTCATGTTTGGGTGTAAGAAACGAGGGACTAGAATTTTCGCCCTTTAGTTTTCTAGAAAATCTTTAAATCAATAAAAAAATCACAATGTGCTCAAAACGTCTGTTGTAGAATGGCTTTCTAACTTTTAAATTTGAGCCAATTTATCTCGGTTCCTGTGAGATATATCAAAAACGTGTCAACTGATAAAATGTTATTGATATTATGATAAACAATTTATCAGTTGTCAGCTTTTTCATATCTGTCATAGGAATCAAGACAATTCGACTCAAAAGGACAAATAGGGTGGACTTTTAATAGCGCCCATACGGTAGTCAAGTTTAATTACCTCGGTTCCTAGGGGAGATATCAAAAAGCTGTAAACTGATAAAATTTTTATCATAATATTTCAAACATTTTATCAGTTGAGACATTTTTGATATCTCTTATAGGAATCGAGATATTGCTCTCACAGAATGAGAGAGCAGGCCAACGCGAAGGGTGACCGCTTAGCGAAGCGGCGACTTCAATTCCACCCTATACGTGCACTTTAAGCTCAATAATCTCGATTCCTGTGAGGGATATCAAAAAAGTATCAACTGATAAAATGTCATTGATATTATGATAAACAATTTATCAGTTGACAAAGTGTTGATATCTTTCACAGGAATTGAGATAATTGCTTCCAACAACGCGTAGCTAAGCGGCGACTTCGATTATTTGTCCGCAAGTCTACCCTATACGTTTTTGTTTGAGGTCAATTATCTCGGTTCTCATAAGAGATATAAAAAAATTGTCAACTGATAAAATTTTTATGATAATATCAGCAACATGTTATTATGTAACAATTTTTTGATATCTTTCAAAAGAACCGAGATAATCGAGCTTAAAAAGTGCGTAGGATGGGGCTTCTATCAGGGGGTTTACGGTAATTTGGCTTTTCTAGGCTTCATCAAGGTTAGAAAACCACTAAACAAAATCAACTTGAAATTATTTACCAAAGGACTAAGACTACCCTGACCTAAAAACCCCAAAATGAAATCCTAGGCCACCGAAATCCCCTTACCTGCATAATAAACTGGTTGAGTGGCGAGAAGGCGTTTGTCTCATCCATTTTGTTCGAATGGTCTTGACTGGAAACTGCTGTAAAAAATCGAACGTTTTCACTTGTTAGATTTTGAGATTTGTTTTCTAGTGTAAAGTAGAAGATAAACGAGAATAAGAAGATGATGGAAGGCGAAAAAGTTTAAGAGGAAAAGTGGTTGAAAAGTGAAAATGTGAAAAAAAAGAAGAAGAGAAAAAAGAAAAAGTTGTGATAACAAAAGATAAAACAAGAAAATGTGTGAGGGAACGAAACTTGAAAAAAAAACCTTTTTGTTCATTAGCTTTTGGGTCTTTGAGTTTTCGCAGGGAGTTTCTGGAGGGTAGATCAAAATTCATAGAAAAATCTGAAACGTTCCAGGAACATTGTCTAATGTTCTCTGGAACTTTTCAAATGAATAAAACATTGTCAGTGGTTCTAGACATGCAAAATAACTTATTCTACTTTTCAGTTCGGAGGGATAACTAATTTAGATAATGGGCAAGGCACTGGCGCGCCATCGGCGCATCTGGTTTAAATAAGGAAGAATTTGAAGGCGAGAAATTTGGAAGAAACAAAAGGAAATCAGAAAGACAATTGAAAAATGATAAAAAAATTTTTGTGTACTCCTCGATAGATCAAATTTTAAGAAATTCAAAAAAGGGTTTGATCTATTTGATAGAAATGTTAGTTTTTTTGTACCTTTTCTTTACTGTCTGATTAGACACCGTATAAAAGCTCCACCCAAATCGTCAACTTTAAGTTTAATTATCTCGGTTCATGTAAGAGATATTAATAATTTGTCAACTAATAAAATGTAGCTGATATTATGATAAGCATTTTATCAGTTGACAATTTTTCAAAGCTCTTTTAGGTACTGAGATAATTGGGTTTAAAGTCGACGGCTTGGGTGGGGGGGGGGGGGGGGGGCTTCTCCGGTAGCTGAAAAATTCGGAATGTTAATGGCAACTTTGAGCTTAATTATCTCAATTCTTGTGAAAGATATCAAAAAGTTGTCAACTGATAAAATCTAGCTGATATTATGATTAACATTTTGTTAGTTGACAAAATTATGATATCTCTATTAGGAACCGAGATAATTAGGCTCAAAGTGCATGTATAGGGTAGGTCTCTATTAGAGCGCATACGGTAGTCAAGTTTGAGCTCAATTATCTCGATGCATATAAAAGATATAAAAAAGTTGTCAACTGATAAATTATTTATCATTATATCACCAATATTTCATCACTTGGCAGATTTTTTTATATATCGTTTAGAAATCAAGATAATTGGGATCGAATAGGGTGGGGTTCTAAAAGAAAAAAAGGTAGATCATAAATCGATAGAAACCCAAAAAGTAGAATCAAACGGGGGATTAGTGTAATTGACTATCCGCTTCCCAAAAATTTCCCAAAGAACAAATTTCCAGAAATTTTCAGAAGAATAGGATGAGTTCTAGGAAACCTACTAATTATAAAAGCTAACGTGAAGCATGTTGTCAAGTTTGAGCTCAATTATTTCGCTTCCTAAAAAAATTGGGAAAAATGTGTCAACTGATAAGATGTTGCTGATATTATGATGAACATTTTATCAGTTGACATCTTTTTGATATCTCTGACAGGAGCCGAGATAATTGGGCTCAAAGTTAACTATCTTTGGGGTGGTGAGGCAGCAGCAGAAAAAATTCGAAAACTCAATTTTTCAGGATACAGTAACCCGGAAAGTTGAAAATCCAGTGAAAAACTTGAATAGGATAGGAAAAAAACAAAATCAATATGCACCACGACCATCTCTAGTCGAACTGCCAAAAGCTAATAAATGGTGTGGACCCGAGAAAAAAGGGTGGTTTGGTATGTGTGTTTAAGAAGGGGGGAGGGACTGGAGGTCACCAACGCCACCCAAAAAACCCGAGAAGTGACGTGGTGGGTGGTGTCCCCCTCTTTCAATGAAATAAGAGAATGTATTTGTTCTTCTTCTTCCCCTGGCGAACATTGGGCGGACGAAGGGCGGACCGTCGGTCGATTTGGTGTACAGAGACTGGTCAGTTGGGTAAAACGAAGTGTGCATTTGCTCTCTCTGGGAAAAGAGAGTGTTTCAAATCAAGAGGGTCCAAGAGAAATGAACAATGGCATAAAAAAAGTGACTGAAGGGCAGATGGTGTGATTGAGAAACATTAAATTACGGGGGGATGGAGAGCAAAGGGAAAACGGGGGGCGGAAGGTCAAAACTTCTTTGGAAAGGATAGAGATGTGAAGAAGAAGATAAACTGACCTGGTAATCCTTAAATCTGAAGGACCGATCTGCTGGGAAAATGGGAGTAAAAAGAGAAGAAAAAAGATACAGTAAACCAAATCTCTGTTACCGTTGATCTTGTAAAATAAGACTTTAACTTTGAGCTCAATCATCTCATTTCCTATGCAAGATATGAAAAAGTTGTCAACTGATAAATGGTTTATCATAATATCAGCTACATTTTATCAGCTGGTCAATTTTTGATATCTCTTATAGAAACCAAGATA